AATAATAGTAATTATATAACAAATTATTAAAAAATTACGCCATTGTGCTCGCCATTGTGGCTAATAGTACCATTCAGATATTTAAAATTAAGTTTTTAAGGTGTATTCAATATCCCATGGACATCCACTAAATATATCAAAGTCTTAGCGCGGACGCAAACCATCGTGGATATCTACTAGATGTAATTTTTGATTTTGCTTCCTAAGTATAGATGGCGATACCACTTTCGTATCTAATCATGCTCAACCCGCCGTAATTGAGTTCGATCGAAAAATGTTTCACAATTTAGAGGCTGGAGTCGAAAATTTGCATTTATTGCTGAATAGTCCTAATAAGGATGACTTTCTCCTTAGTGGGCAAAATCAAAGGCAGATTGTTGGAAATATTTTTTATCTCTATTTTCTTTCGACGTTATTCACTAATCATTGGTTACTTATGAACATCTACTAAAGATACCTATAAAATATTTTGCTGAATATCTGAATTCTATATCCTAAAGCCGGGATCCAACGGCGCGCGGAGTGGCACTCCACGCGCCAAACTTGCCAGTTCCCGCTCCGTTGGATAGGGCAGGCTTGCCAATCTTCGGTCGGCGCGATGAGCCCCGTCGTCTGTCGGTAAATCAACACGGTTCAAAGGGGCGCGGACGTTGGCGAGCAACACGTGCTTACAGCTCCAACGGCGCGGCTAGGAGCGTATTACTGTCAGTGCCGTGGTAACTTTTACCAAGGAGTGGTCTAACGAAGTGGTGTTAGAATTTTTATCATTCTATGAAGCCGAGCCGATTATTTGGAACCCACGGGATCCAAACCATAAAAACAGGAACTTAGTTTATGATGCCTGGAGGAGAATTGAAGAGCAAATGAGTGTACAATATTCAATCGCAGAATTGAAAAAATTAAATTAAAAGTCATAACCTAATATTAGTTGCAGTCGTAGAAAAATTATAGTATATAACGTGTGTGAAAATCAGTTTTCAACACTTGTTGCAAAATATTCTGCAGTGATCATCATGTCTTATCCCCCCTATCTAACTCGTTACTGGAGTCTTGTTAGGAAAATCGCCGAGACACATCGATTTTAGATTTCTACAATATACATTTTTGTATAAATAGTTGACCCTTAATTTCAGCCCTTACTGGAGTGGAGCAACCCTTTCGAAAAATTTAAATGGCATGGGGTGGGAGTGATAGCTCATTTGAAAGGGAGTTTCATTTTCTATTTAACCGTGCAAAAAATTTTGAAATTTACTTCATTACGTGTTGATTTATTAATGTTTAAAAATAACAAAACATTACAAACAGGAAAGCAATTAATCTAACAGTGACCTTATATAATGACAAAAAGTCTTACTTCACGTCTAAACCAAAACCGATATCAATCAGGGCCGAATTTTAATTCTAAGGATGAGTGTGCTATGTTAATTTTCGGTATTCTGAAACAATAATTATTTATTTCAAAATTTTTTGCACGGTTGAATAGAAATTCAAACCCCCTTTCAAATGAGCTATCACTCACCACCCTATTCCATTTAAATTTTTCGAAAGGGTTGCTCCCCTCCAGTAAGGGATGAAATTAAGAGTAAACTATTTATACAAAAATGTACATTGTAGAAATCAAAAATCGACGTGTCTCGACGATTTTCCTAACAAGACTCCAGTAAGACTTATGATGCTCACTGTATAATGTACTTATCTATCTCGATTTTTATACAAAGACACTCTCCACCATCTTCTTTGTTAATCGACTTCAAAAAAGGAGAAGGTTCTCAATTCGTCGTATTTTTTTTAAGTATGTTCAGCGATAATTCTTTAACACGGTGTCCAATTTCCATGATTATTTTTTTGTTAGAAAGGAGATACCTCAGGGGTAGTTCCAGATACAATTAGTCAGGATCTGATTAACTATGAGAAAATCAAAAATCTCAATTTTTAAGGGCATCTGCACGATTTTGAAGTCAGTTTTTTAATTAAAAAATTATTTTCGTTATATTTTTTGTCCCTTTGCCATGCTGTAAACTCCTAAAATTAAACCAAATTATGAAATGTTTATCGCCAACACTGCCATCGTAAAACAGACTGCAATAAGCGCGTGTCCACATCTGCGCGATCCTCATGCGCCGTGGGAACGGTCCGACCCTTGAGACTCTACTCACAACCCAGGATTGCCGCTCCACGCGCCGAGGAGTGCCATTCCACGCGCCGTTGGATCCCGGCTTAAGATATAGACGGACATTTGGTTGGATATCCATATTGGATATCCACAAACTATATTCTGTGGATATCTCTGGGATTTCTTGTATTGTCTGGAAGCTACTCATTAGATATTTTGCTGAATATCCATGGGATATCTTCTATATTCTAGATATAGACGGACATTTGGATATCCATATTAGATCCACGGAATATTTCTGATATCCTGTGGATATATTGGATATCCACAAAAGATATTCTGTGGATATTTCTGGGATTTGGTGTGTTGTCTGGGATTGTTATTAAAAACCCGTACATCGAAAATATTAAAGGTGTATTCATGAATACAGGGCCATAAAAAAGGAGAAATATTTAAGAAGGAATCGGGCTAATCAAAAATATTTAAAGTTATTCTTTTGAATGTGTGTTTTAGTGCTCTTTAATAAATCCAATTTTTCTCTAAAATAATTATGGAAGCCAATAATTGACACCATTTAAAAATACATGGGATTTCCTATGTCCCGCTCGACGATACAACACCCGGTAACAACTTTATATTATTTTTTATTTCCAATTAAATTAATATATTTCAATTTTGCTATTGCTTGTAACAGAGTCCCGTTCATTGGAATGATTCCTCTCAAATTATATCCAAATAATTATATTACTATGCGTTAACGGTAATTTTTTTAAACATTTCAGTTTTTTATATTTCATTTTATCCAATTTTCTCGCAATAAGCAAAGGTGGTCAATAGACAACTTAATTATAATTACATTCAATTTTCTCAGCAGTTTGCTAGAAGAGGTCTAATTTTGTTTTTGTTGTTTGTAATTGTTCATTTAATTTTAACTCGGTTGGGCAAAAGTAATTGAGATGTGTTTTTGTCGGTGTTCATTGAACGTAGAAACTAATTTTTTTTTTCTAATTAAACTAATGTTTTTCATTACATTATATTAATACTTTTATGATGCATTAAGAGAAGTTTCTTGATATATCGGAATATTTGATTGGTTTTCAAATTACTTTCCCAGACGTAATAGTTATCTCGGTATCGTCCAATAAAAATTTTCCTTTAAGCAATTTTATCGCCCTCTGATGTAATAAAAACTGTTAGTATTGTAAAGTACGACACTTTTCATTTGAAAACTAAGACTAATTGAATGCACAAACAAAACATAATTGAAAGAAATATTAACTTAAATAATTGAAAAATATCTCAAATCTCTATCGTTAAGAACTATATGCAAACTTTAATCGCAATCAACCAAAATAACAAACTTATGCTACTCATCATTAAATTAATAATAAAACTAGCTTTCAAATGAATTGTCACACTATACGATAGATAGCTAAAATCAAAAGTAACGCAATGAATAATAATATTGCTGAATTCGCCATAAAATTACCTTTTTAAAGATGTATCTTACTTGGTACTTCTTCCATTTTTAAATTGTATTAGTTAGTAACACAGAGGGGAGAGGAATGGCATATGACAGTTGATCGTATGATGAACGACGTTTCCCATTCTCTGTAATCAAAAAATTTAAGAGAGACTAAGAAGCCGACTTTTGTTTATCTTCTGGGGGACCATACTATGACGAGGGCTAAAATAAAGTCCTCGACTTTCTCCGAAATCCCATATATTCTATGTTTTAAACTGGTTAAAAAAAGTCCCTAACTCTCCGTCCAATTATATATTATATTTTTCACTTGCTAAAAAAAATGGTCTCACTTCTCCGAAGCCTAATTTTACCACTGGGCACTTACGGGAAAAATATCGATTTTATTTAAATGAATTTTTTCACGTTCAAGTTTCTCCGGGAGTGAACTCCGTAGTCGGCGCGTGTAAAAGGTTAATAATCTAAATCTATGGACCAATTTATCCAAACTCTATTTATTTTGTATGAAAAATCGTTCATAAATAATAAAAAAAAAATTCGGGTAAGTACTACACTGTCTTACTGTTACACGCTTCTTCCGCCAGGTCATACAAAGTACAACACCCCGTATAACTTGATTCGTTTCTGGTCGTATGGATGACCTAGGTCGCAGCAATATGTGGGCTAATTGTCAGTTAGCTTTTGGGCTTTTTAATTCATTTTGGGTTTCGTTACAACATCCAACAGTGAAAAGAGGTATCTAATTAGGTACTTTAACCTTTTTTTAAAAACCTTTGTAACAATATTTCGTGAATGGACCCCATTATTTAGTTATTTACGGCTTTCATGACGTGATAAAGCAAGATCAGACATGCAGGAAGTTACTATACAATTATTTTAAAATATTAAGTATGTAGGAAGTATGATAAAATTATATTGGTCTCCAATAAATGTACTTAATACATTACAAATTATATTGGTTTGGTTGTTAAAATTAATATAAACTTTAACTTATCACAACCGCTTATTAATATTTTAGATTAAAACGCAGTAGATGCCTACCTGCCATCCACAGCTTTCTAACTAATTGTTTACGCATTAATTTATGTAGTATTTACAATTAATTCATATCTCATCTTCATCTTATTGAAGCTAAATTTTTATCACAAGTTAAATAATCATAATTGATGAAGACATTTTTACTGATCTAGTACTTAATATCTTGAACTTCTATGGATTGTCCACAAATGAAAAAAAATATGTGCAAGATAGGTGCCTTTTCACTTCATTGCCTGTCTATACCTAGGTATATTATAATAAACAGACTCAGGGGTATATTTTTCCACCTGCTGTATGATTTTTTTAGTCAATTAATCAAACCTTTATTGGAATATGGTTTTCAAGTGTCTCTCTTTCTTTTTTCAGGTTTCACAGGCACTCAATGCGAAATTGACATAGATGAATGCAAAGATCGGCCTTGCTTGAATGGAGGTATATGCCACGATCTGATCAACTCATTCAAATGCTCATGCGCAACAGGCTTCACAGGTTCCCGCTGTCAAATCAACATCGACGACTGCGCTTCTAGCCCTTGTAGAAACGGAGGGGAATGTCATGATGGGATTGCATCCTATACGTGCGAATGTCCTCCGGGATTCACAGGTTAGTAGAATATGTTAAAAATTACAGCCATAATATATATTTAAATTTAAGTATATCTTATGTCTTTAACTAACTTTCCCAACTAGTTTAAGACAATATAGAAGTATAATTCGCTCTAAATATTCTCTGAACTGTCATTTGAGATTGATTTCAGAGTATCGTAATTATCTTTTGAAGATTTCAACCCTTGCATGCATCATCTCTGAATGACCATCTCGTTTCTCCCAAAGCATCGTAGATGCCGAAAATAAATTATAGCAGAAATGTATAATAATTTATAGATTCATTACAACAACAAAGTTCAAAGATAAGAAATTCAGAGAAATTGATAGTCCGTTTTCAGTGGCCTTAGAAAAAAAATTGTTAAAACAGTCGAGTTTTTGTAATTTTTTTGACACCTATTTGACATATTTAAAAGCTTATCAGCTAAGCTAAGGGACTATGGTCTGAATAAAAGAAGAGAGCAGTAAAAGTTGGGATATAACACGTCACATTCCATAGGCGTACTTTGCAAAATAAGTTTCTATAATATAAATAAGGTTACGGTATATAAAATGGTATATAGGCACTTCGTAGATTAAATTTTGAATGAAAAAAGTTTAACCAATAAATAACAAGGATGATTATATGTTGTTAATGGGATTAAACTTTTTTAATTTCTTGGCATTAAAAGTACCACTTCAGTACCTAAAATCAAAGATTAAAAAAAATTAAAAGTTTAAGAACTTATTTTTAAAAGTCACTGTCTTCACTATAACTATACTGGTATCATTATCATTATTTTTTCTGGGGTTTATTATTAGAGGGTATATTAAGTTTTCTAAAAGTGCATTAATTTTATGGAGAATACTTCGAAAAACAATAAAGTTTTTCAAATCTATATAGAGTGTTTCATTCCAGCCCTATATGCAAAATTAAAAAGACGTCCCTCGTAGTTTTTATTCATCTTGATATTATTGGCCCCCGACCAATAAAATACAGTGGCCGTGCTTCTTGCATTAATAATATTCTGATAATTTACGATTTTCTTATTTGACATGTTTAGGAAATTACTGGTTAGAATTTTAATGAATCTGATGGTAAATATTCCGATCTTCTTGATGTTTTGAATTATTAATGTGAAGTTTTTTGGGCTTGTAGTTTAAACTCTTGCACAGTTGGGGATAATATGTTTATTATATTTATTGTCTGTAAATATAGTTTTTAAATTAATATTTTGTTTAGGAATGTCCTGCGAAACTAACATCAACGATTGTCTGTCTTCGCCGTGCCAACATGGAGAATGTATAGATGGCGAGAATTCTTTCACATGCACCTGTCATCCTGGATATGCCGGACCATTGTGCCAACACCAAATTAACGAATGCGAATCAAATCCTTGCCAGTACGGTGGCTTATGCCAAGATTTAATCAACAGTTATCAGTGCCTCTGTAAACCCGGTACATCAGGTCACAATTGTGAAATAAACGTCAACGAATGTTACAGCAATCCTTGCAGAAACGGCGCTAGATGCTTAGATGGAATCAACAGGTAATGAATTAGTTTCTATTAATTTTACAACGTTATTGTAATCATATCTAAATTTGTTTCACGCATTCAGAGGGTTCCCATATTTCGAATTGTAAGTTTTTACTACACCATTTTGTAACTGAAATGTGAATGTTTGCATGAATTTGTGAAGTTTCTTTTTAATTGATATGTTTCAGCATGAATTTATTGATCATAGCTTTCTTCGGTGTAACTATAAATTACAGATAGTAAAGCCAACTCAAAAATAAAAAACTGAAACTGACTATAAGATAACATATAAGATAACTGATAAATAAATCTTTATATTATTGGCGATTCAAGCTATCCAATAGGTGAAAATTTAATAAAAGGTACTATTAATCGACAAAATATATGTACGCGATAACTAAACAATTATCTACAAACGAAGAAATTTTTGTGCAACATTTGCAACTCTAGACGTCATGCGAAATGTCATTTACAAAATATGTTATTTTAAACTCAGCTATCAGAAAATTTAAACATTATTTTGGAGTGTGATGTTGTTTCGTTATATTTATGTGTTAGTTGTACTGAAAAAAAAAACGTGTAAATGAAAATATGTTTAGTTTTGAAGAAAATTTGTAGGCAATGATGATATGATTCCACGTGGTTTGAAAGTCATTTTTCGAATATTTAAAAAAAAACTCAATTTCTAAAGACTTCTTTACAGGCATACTTAATGAACGGTTTTCAATATTAAAATTATTAATATCAGGACGTTATTTTTCCTGAAAGCTACGTTTAGATTAGATTCAATTTGAAAGGAGTTAGACATTATTTGTCCTAGTCCACCGGGACCTTTTCAGATATATTGTGGGACTCCGTTTTTTAGGGTTCAGTACCCGAAGGGTAACCAACGTGACACTATTACTAAGTATCCGCTGTCCGTCCGTATGTCTGTCAGCGGGCTGTATCTCATGATCCGTAATAAGTAGGCAGAATTTAAAAAGTACCTACATAGTATTAAATATTGTACGATGGCGCGGAACCCTTCATGCGCGAGTCCGACTCGCACTTGGCCGATTTTTATTAGAGTATGTCCTCTAGCTTGGTCTTTTTTATTAGACAGTTGCTCCCGCATATAGTTTCATGCGTCTGGCTTTTCTTCGTCTAATGTTAGAAACCTCAATCACGCTGGTTTAAGACGTTGATTGATGATTGATATTTTCTCGTCTTCTTAACAGAACCTGCACAATTTTGCTTATTCTGCTGGATTGATGATACACATGTGTCTTCTTAGGTGACAGTGTTCGGTAAGAAGACCTACTATTATCCTAACGATTAGACGTCATTGATCCAGTAGGTATTTCGTGAACTTGGCCGGTGGTTCCTTGATTAACTGTTTGGCCTGTCTCAATCTTGTACAGTTATTCCACCATTTCTGAGACTCTTTTTTCATCCATTGTTTAATGGATGCCTTGCACAATGCCTTAGCAACCACACAGAAGAGTTCAGGACCTGTTATGGCCTTATCTGAGCCTTCTCGGACTAAATCGTCGTCCTTTTCGTTGCCTTGATATCCATCGTAGCCTGGCAGCCAGGCTAGGGGTCACCTTGTCTTGACTACTTAGCTATGTAGTTGGCTTATTGGGTTTTGTCTCTGCATTAGTCAGTGAATAACGGACCTGGTTTCTCCTTGTATGAAGATGTGTACTGGCGTTAGGTTTAACACCTTCTTTACTGCAGTTGACGAAGTACGCTTGGCCCCAGTGGCACTCAGACAGGCGAGCCGTTCAATGCCGATGAATTGGCCAACTGCACTTGCCTGCGCAATTTTGTTTACCGACACCACTGTGTTATATTATCGTGGGTGTTATTACTCTTATGTATAACCATATGATCAGACCCCAGTTTTTCCCACATATTTTTCTACACCTTACGAGAGTCATTGCAGCTTTGTATGTGAGTTTTTTTTGAGAAGTTAATTCCACGTCAGCCTTTGGTCGAATATGACTCAGAGGTAATTGGCTTCTATGACAAATGAAATAACCATGTTATTTAGAACTAGTTGGCTTAGTCGTGTAAGTATCCGGTTTTTTGTGAATGGTAGAACTGTTATTTTTTTGCGTTAATAGACAAGTGCTCATTTTTGCACCAGTTTCTTACTATGTTTAGAGCTGTCCCTTCAAATCTCCCCCTGACAATCATTGTAGATCTTCTGCGTATCCTACGCACTGGTAGCCTTCTTTGGACAATATTTTGAGTAGGTCGTCCATTAGAACTGACTACAGCATTGGATATAGTATTTCTCCTTGTGGACAGCCTTGTGTAACTTTGCCTATATGGTTGCCTTTCCTAGACTGTATAAAATGATCCTATTCTCTAGACTGGCAGTGATCCATTACAAAACTTTTAATGTTTATGTTATGCGCGTTAGAAACTTAAGAGCGTACAAACTATCACTAACGTAACTTGATTTGCGATTCAAATTAATTTTTTCACGCCTGTCATTAGATAGGCAAATTGTGTGTTTTAGCCTTTTGGCGAAATTGTGATTTTTCGTTTTTTGTTTTTAGATAGATATTATTAGCATTATCATAGTGTTTTTGTGTTTTGTTTATTGTTTTAATATATACACAAATTGAATTTTTGTTCTTCCGTAATGTAATGTCATTAAGAATGGGATACAGAACAACTTAAGATTTTCTGATTGAATATAAGATGATTAAACGAAACATGCTTAGATAAAATATTACTCGTTTCTGAAATGCATGGTGTTAAAGTTGAAAATTCAAAAATGATTAATGGCTATAATTTTATATTTCTCAGTATAATTTTACTAAATTTGGCGAATATTTTTGGTGTTATAAGATACACCTATCAGCAAAAAAAAATAAACTTTGCCAGTGGCGTACAGTATATATGGATAAATAATACCTTCATCCCCTCTAAATTTTACGCCAGTGTCCAAAAACTTATTTGGACTATAATTTTAAATTTTTTTGTGTTTTTTAAATAAATTATGTATCTAAAGAAAAAGTCTCGCTTTATGTTGCTACAAAAGGGCTGCAAATCCGCTACCTTAGCAGAATTCCGCTGTACTGGAACATGCCTATTTAAAAATGTGTATTACTTATAGTGAATTTTATTTGTTGTACCAGTGTCACACTTGTCAAAAGAATATATTCGGTGGCAGTTTGGTGCAAGTGCAACATGTTGTAAATCGAACGTGATCTTGTAACAGAGCTTGCGTACAGTGTGTAAACAAGTAAACATCCATACTACACAAAGTTCGTTATTATTTTTGTTCAAAAAACTCTCAGCTATTTATGGGATCAGGCACAATTTTATTTCTTGGTTAAAAGTACCTCTTGTTCGTCGAACTGATCAATTTCATTTTCATGAAGTTTGTCATTCTTTAGTGGTAATTCTGTAATTCAATACGTTCATTTTTAACGGGTGTTAAATTTTACGATTTTAACATAAATTGTAATTCTGTAAAAATAAAATTTACCTCATACGTTAAATTTAAAAAAAAATAAACATACGTTAAAAGTAGTTTTAAGGTCTATCAAATAAATGTTATTCATATTGTCATATTTATTGTATCTGTCTGTTTTTGCACAAGAATATTGAGAAAAGTAGCGGCCGAATGTACTTTATAAACTATTTGGTAGGCCATAAATTTTCAATACAAACAAAACTTACCCTAGTAACCTTATAATAGTGCCCTTCTACGGCAAATCAATTACTAACTACAAAAAGTTTATATACACTATAAATAAAATATAATTTCTAAATCGAATTTGTGTAATTTCAACTGTTAAAATTACTTGAGTACTTTCAAAATGGTTCATTTTCATGAGTTTCTTTTAATATAAGTTAAATTAAACAGTCAAAAGTCATAATTACCTATATCTTAAGTTTTAAAGCCTACTAATTAGTACCTGTTAATACCTGTTAATATCCTCGATTTAAGGCATATAATTAACACATTTATGTTAAATTTTTAACATTTGTTTGCTTGTAGAATTGATTTTTGTGACACAAATGAACTATTATATTAATTATAAGTTAACATTTTTCATAAATTTACAGAATTGCTTTTCATACGTTATATTTTTAACGTCCGTTAAATTTTAACATATTCGTTATAGAACTGCCACTTTTCTAATAAAAGAGCTTCCGTTAGTTCTTCATTTCCTTCAGATGTGGACAAAAGCTCACATATAACTATTACCCTATTAAAATTACCCATTATCCAATTGGCAACACCATCTAGATGGTACTTTTTCTGAGTGAGAATTGTTTACAAATGATCTTAATTTTCACATATTTGACCGCTACACTGAGCTGCACTGGCTCTGGTAGTCATTGTTTAGGTGTAGAGACAGTGTAAGTTTGTTGGCAAATAAAACAGCTACTACATTTTATCTATACTCACATATTTGAAGCTACACTGAACAAACCAAACATGTGATTAGTGCAGAATACTTAGTGCAGCAAAGAAAATCCACTATAATTTTGAATCGCCAATATGCGTAAAATGTTATATTTTACTCGTCAATGTCTGTAATTTATAGTTACTAAATACACATATCTATGATCTCATAATGTTTGTAAAGAGTACTTACCTACACACTCTTAATAATGACAACATCACCAAAATCTAAAATTTTCAATAAAAGTGTTATTTCAGTTAATAATAGTATTCTTTTTATTGAATTACTAAATGACTTTTTTCAACTAGCAGGCAAAGATTTAACTTATTTCTATAACATGTACCTATTGTCGAGAGTGGCGTTTAAATTACATTCAAGTTAAAGATCATTTTAATAAATTAGAAGAGTACATTAATGATATTTAAAGATAAAGTTGGAAAAAGTTTTAGGTCAATGCAGCATATTAATTCCAAAGAAAATGCTACAAAATTAATTTAAAACTTTTCGGCATGTACTTCATGTGAACTTTTTTAGGTGTATATATCTTTTCTCCACTAAAACTGCTACCAATTTCAATTCTTAGAAAATATAAGGTGTCTTCTAAGAGCCTTCCTTTATTAAGTTACGTTTATAGTTTTCGACATACAAAGTGTTTTTCAAATTTTTCCATTTTCTTTTGACCTTTAAACCTCCGTTATTTTAACAGAATTTTCTTACCGTGACTTAGGTCCGTATTTATAAACAGAACTTACCTGAGTCGGACTTGGGTAAGTTGTCCTTGAACTAAAATCGAAGTTCGGTTACAACGTCTCTAAAGTTCTAGCTGGTTCTGGTGTTAGACTGGAATTTAGAGATGGATATTAGCAAATCTGTAACTGTTATGAACATTTACGGATTTGTTACTACCCATCTCTAAATTCACGCGATATAACCGAACTTCGATTTTCGTTCAAGGACAACTTACTCAAGTCCGACTCAGCTGAGTTTTGTTTATAAATACGGACCTTAGTGGCGTACTTAGATTTTTTAAAGGGACCTATTCTTTTTCAAAATAATATTTATTTCTAATGGAACATGCTAGATTAATTGATTCATGGATTTGTATTTTTTACCTGTTCAATTAAAAAACTTGTATATTTTGAACAGTATTACCCTAAAATCTGAACACGCCATTACATTCTATATAGAAAAATATTCGAGTTATTGTTATATGTGTATACTAGCGAACCGCAATTTTAATCTATATTAAATGTCCAAGGTAACTGGCATATTTATCTGCATAAGAAATAATAATGAATTGGAGAAAATAGTTTCGTAAATAACATATCGTTTTTTACTAATCTGTAATAGATAAAAATAGTTATTGTGAGTGTACCTTTTTTTTTCTCCTGGGCTTGTCTGACTTGTATCTCCGAATAACACTCAAGCCTATTGGCTTATTGTGTTTTACCCCATGTTAGTTTATAGCACCCACTCTATCACCTTTGTACCTTGTACAAGTTTGTACAGATCCTTGGGTGAGCGGGTTCTATACGTTGTTGGATCAACCTGGGGTTGTCCAAAAAGAGCCTGTCTTTTGCGATCTAGAGCTTCGCATTCGCACAGTATGTGTTTGGCCGTTTCTGGTTTCTTGTGACATAGTCGGCACATGAGTTCCCCATTGTACATGCCAATTTTGTTCAAGTGTCCCTTTACTGGGGCGTGCCCAGTCATGAACCCTGTTATCACTTTCAACTGGTTCCTATTCATTGAGAGTAGTACTCCAGTTCTTTTGGGACATGGTCTGCCTATGAAGGCTTTTCCATGTGCCTGTTTTGGGGTGTTTCCCCAATAGTTGATATGTTGTTCCCGAATCCAGTCGTTTATGAAACCCCGGACTGTACTTTTTGGTACTCCTGGGTTTGTGTCTGGTTCCGGTGTTTCTTCTGACCCTCTTTTTGCAAGTTCGTCAGCCTTTTCGTTGCCTTCGATCCCTTGGTGACCTGGCACCCCAAATAGTTTTACTCTATTTCGGTCTGCCAGTGTTCTTAGTTCTTCGATGCATTCCCATACCAGCCTCGACGTAACTTTCTGACTCGATATGGCCTTAAGTGCCGCTTGGCTGTCTGACATTATTTGAATATGCTGATTTTCGACAGCTCTTTCATTGTTCGTTTTTGCACATTGCAAAATTGCGTATACCTCGGCCTGAAATACCGAGGAATGTATTCCTATAGCATAGCTATGGTTAGTATCAGGGTTTTTGGAGAATACTCCTGCCCCAGTGCCTTCCGCAGTCTTAGATCCGTCTGTATACCAGGTTTGTTCCTGTCGTTGGGCATTGGGCTCCCTTATGGTGATTTCCGCTCTTTCCTGTATTAAAACCTCAAATGGAGTATTAAAAGAGTACCTCTTGGTTATGTGGTCTGATCTCATGTCTAGCACGTCTCCTGTCACTAACCTTGAGATGCTCATGTGACCTGGCCTAATGTCAAGATTTCCCAGTGCATTCCCTAATCTGTAAGCACCTAATCTTGCCTCCCCTTGTATCACATAGTGAAGAGGTAGGAGTCCTATTAGTGCTTCCATTGCAGCAGTGGGGGTTGTTTTCATTGCCCCCGTTATTCTGAGGCAGGCAAGTCTTTGTACCTTGCTTAGCCTCGTTATTGCTTTCCTTTGCTGTGTCTTTGGCCACCACACTAAAGCTGCGTATGTTATTATCGCTCTCACCACCATGTTATAAAGTCAATATACCACGTCTGGTTTTAACCCCCTTTTTTTTGTAGTGTACCTTAGGAGATAGATAAGTACATGCTATAACGCTGACTTTTCTGTAGGCCTTTTTAAGACCTACAATTTTCTAGTACATTGTTTTGATGTATCTCTTAAGATTTGGCCAGCGTTGGCCACGTGTGCCGCCGAAAACAGTTTTCTTGACAACACACCGTCATAGTTCAGGCATTTTTTATAAAATATTTACAAATTATACAAGGTGTTCCTTAATGAAATGCGAAACAAAAAATACATGAAAAATTAGTGATAGTTTGCTTTATAAAATATGGTCTAAAATGTTAAAATTTTGTTTTCTTTCATTCTTCAATAATTAAATTAATTTTCTCGGACAATACAACAGTTTTTAATTTATTTTTTTACTCAAATACGGAGCAACGTAGGAAAACAAATCAAGAGATCGTTTAAATTTAAAATTGAACGGGGAATTTAAAAATAATTTTTATTTGGGAAAAAACCATTGGCGTACCATTTTTTTTTTTTTCAAAAATATTGAGACTAGTGCCCGTACGCAAGCCACTGTTAAAGCTATTATTATTTTTATATTGAAAAATATACACCATTATTAACTGTCACTGAATATTAAATTTATCACTGAAATATCTCAAGCGGTTACGAAAATATTAATTAATTTTCATTTTTTTTTTAACCTTTTCTACTCTGTATTTTCGTAACGGAACATTTTTGGACCATATAGTTTATAAAGCAAACTATCATTAATTTTTCATATACATTCACACCCTTAAATATTCGCATATCACCCTATATACACAAACCATCCTCGTTTATCGCTCTTTCTATTAGTAAAAACCGTATCAAAATCTGTTACGGGGTTTAGAGGAAAGAAGCGGAGAAGCAAACAGGGGCAGTCAGCGACTTTGTTTTATACCATGTAGAGATACAGTTTTTTCTTTTCAAAAGAAATAAATAATAATTATAAACCGATAGTCGAAAACAGAATGTGCCTTTCATTTAGAGATAAAATCCTAAATTAATTATTTCTTTACAGCTACACTTGTGAATGCATCGCAGGTTTCACAGGCCGTCATTGCGAAAACGATATAGACGAATGTGCCTCTAATCCATGTGCCAACGGAGGCGTATGCATAGATTTAGTCAACGGTTTCAGATGCGAGTGTCCCAGAGGCTATTTTGACGCAAGGTGTCTTAGCGATGTAGACGAATGCAAATCGAATCCTTGCAAACATGGCGGATCTTGTGAAGATGGCGTCAACCAGTTCATATGCCATTGTTTGCCCGGTTACGGCGGAAAGCAATGTGAAATCAACATAGATGAATGCGCTTCAAATCCTTGTCAACATGGTGGTAATTGCAGAGATCTTTTGGCTTCTTATAGTTGCGAATGCTTACCTGGATATTCTGGAATAAATTGCGAAAATAACATCGACGATTGCGCCGTCAACCCTTGCAAAAATGGTGGCACTTGCATCGATTCAGTGAACGATTTTAAATGCGTTTGTGAATTACCTTATACCGGTCGAGAGTGTCAAGATCGATTAGATCCTTGCCAGCCTAACTTATGTCAACACAATTCTAAATGCACCCCAAGTTCCAACTTCTTGGATTTCGCATGTTCTTGTGGAGTAGGATATACAGGAAGATTCTGTGAACAAGATGTAGATGAGTGTGTGGTATCTAAACCTTGTAGAAATGGAGCTACTTGTAGAAATACAAATGGCAGTTACATGTGTATGTGCATGCGAGGATATGAAGGAAAGGACTGTTCAATCAATACTGATGACTGCGCTTCATGTAAGTATTTATATTTTTAAACTAAATATTCATTTAGATGCGTTTGAAGTAGACAAAAATATTAAATTTTAAAAATAAATATATATTGACCTTTATTTTAGCACCTTGTCAAAATGGAGGTACTTGCTTAGATGACTTGGGAGACTTTATGTGTCTCTGCATCAATGGTTTTGAAGGTAAACAATGTGAAATCGATATAGACGAATGCGCTTCCCATCCTTGTCAAAATGGCGCCACATGCAACCAATACGTCGATTCGTATACCTGCACTTGTCCATTAGGATTTTCTGGAATCAACTGTCAAACCAACGACGAAGACTGCACAGAAAGTAGCTGCATGTACGGCGGAACTTGTATCGATGGAATAAACAGTTATGTTTGTACCTGCAAACCAGGGTAAGTAACATCTTATTTTATTTTAGACATTTTAACTCTCTTCAAAATTGAGACTATGATTAATATTTATTTATTTATTGTTTTCTATTTGTTTACAGTTACACTGGATCTAATTGTCAAAATAGAATCAATCTGTGTGACAGTTCTCCATGTTCAAACGCCGCAACCTGTCAAGATCACACTACTCATTACACCTGCCATTGCCCCTTCGGCTATACTGGTAAAAACTGCGGAGAATACGTCGACTGGTGCTCTACTAATCCATGCGAGAACCATTCAACTTGCAGGCAAGTGAAAAATAAGTATTCCTGCTCATGTGGACCTGGATGGACTGGAAAAGTATGCGACGTCGAAATGGTTAGTTGTAAAGACGCGGCAACAAAGAAAGGAATTCATTGGAAATATCTTTGTAACAATGGAACCTGCGAAACGATCGGAAATTCCCATAGATGTCACTGTAAAGGAGGCTACACGGGCTCTTACTGTCAAAAAGAAATAAACGAATGTGAAACAGCACCCTGTCAAAACGGAGCCACTTGTCAAGATCTAATCGGTTCTTTCAGTTGTGTTTGTCCAAAAGGTTTCCAAGGACAAAATTGCGAACTCAACGTGGACGATTGCCAACCAAATCCATGTCAAAATGGCGGAACTTGTCACGATTTAGTCGATACATTCCAATGTTCTTGTCCACCTGGAACGCTAGGTTACATTTGCGAAATCAACATCGACGATTGTCGCTTGGATTCTTGTCACAACAATGGCACGTGTGTAGATCGAGTTGGAGGTTTCGAATGCAAATGTCCTCCCGGTTTTGTAGGCCCGAGATGCGAAGGAGACATCAATGAATGCTTATCAAATCCCTGCTCCAACTTGGGAACCTTAGATTGCGTGCAATTGGTAAATGATTATCATTGCAATTGCAAAACCGGGTACATCGGACGACACTGTGAACGTAAAGTCGACGTTTGTGCCAACAACCCTTGCAAGAACGGCGGCATATGCATACCAACTAACCTAGGTTATAATTGTACCTGTACAGAAGGCTTTTGCGGCAAAAACTGCGATCTTAGCGGTTACGATTGTGATTCGGAACCTTGTAAAAATGGAGGAATCTGTAGAATATCCGAAAATGGTTACTTCTGTGAATGTCCACCGAGTACGACGGGTCCCAACTGCGAAATTGATCTCATAAATGAATGCGACAGCAATCCTTGTTTACATCACGAAGCAATTTGTCAAAATAAAATTGGAGACTATATATGTTACTGTCCGCCAAAATATGTTGGTAAAAACTGCGAGATCTATGATGGAAGCGCATCAGCCGGAATCGATAAAGTCATCAGAACCCCACATGATTTCAATACTTTTTTCGCTAGGGATCTGGAAAAACAACGACAACAATGCATTCGCAATAAGTGTCCTATCAAACGTGGCAATATGCGCTGCGACGAGGAATGCAACACATACGCTTGTGATTTTGATGGTAACGACTGTTCTCTTGGAATAAACCCTTGGGCCAATTGTACTGCGCCAACCAAATGCTGGGATGTTTTCATGGATGGAGTTTGCAACGAAGATTGTAACAATCCACAGTGTTTATTCGACGGTAGAGATTGCGAAAAGAAACTGCAAGCCTGTAACCCGACCTATGATGCTTATTGCCAGAAACACTATGCTAATGGTTACTGTGATTATGGGTGTAACAACGCTGAATGTAACTGGGATGGACTAGATTGCGAAAAAGAACAAGCTCCAGAATTAGCAGATGGAGTTATATCAATGGTTATTCTAATGGATATGGAAGGTTTTAGAAACAATTTAGTCGCTTTCCTTAGAGATACAAGTCATCAACTAAGAACCACGGTTAGGGTAAAGAAAGACCAACTAGATAACGATATGATTTATCCTTGGATAGGTTCTACTCCTACGAATAACTTACAGGATGATTACTTCAAGAAAAAACACCACGTGGCGTTTTCTGAGCAAGCCCAAACTGGAGTGAAAGTATTTTTAGAGATCGATAATAGAAAATGTAGTAGTTTGCCGGAAACTTCCGATTATTGCTTCCAAACTGCGAGTGCTGCTGCAGAATTCTTAGCAGCTAAAGCATCTAAACACACGCTTTCATCTTCTTTTCCCATATACCAAGTTAACGGCTCTACTGGTATGGACGAAGACGATAACCCTCCGGCAAACGCAAAATACGTCTTGATTGGTATTTTGATGGTCATCTTCCTTAGTGCTTTCATCTTTGTTGTTATCCAGACGCAACGTAAACGCGCAGCTGGTATTACTTGGTTCCCAGAAGGATTTTTACGCACTAACTCTGGTACCAGACGAAGATCCCGTCGGCGCGGACCTGAAGGTCAGGAACTGAGGAATTTGAGCAAAAATCCTTCGATACCTGGCTTGGATATTGATCCCAGTGGTCACCATGGTCATGTACCGCAATGGTCCGATGATGAAAGCGACATACCACAGCCCAAACGATTTAGAGGAAATGATATTGGTAAGTTCATAACTTTAAATCATAGCCGTTTATATCTAACGCTTTATTAAATTTATGTAGGTTATTCGAGTGACCATACAGCTATTACTGACTACGAAGAAGCAGAGCCCAGATGGACCCAACAACACTTAGAAGCTGCTGATATTAGACCGTCTGCTATGTTAACACCGCCGCAAGGCAACGACTTAGGAGACATAAACGCCAGAGGACCCTGTGGTATGACACCGATTATGGTTGCAGCTGTCAGAGGTGGTGGAATGGATACTGGAATAGATGAGGACGATGATGATGGTGCTGGTCAGATTATCCAAGATTTGGTGGCACAAGGAGCAGAACTTAACGCTACTATGGATAAAACAGGAGAAACATCATTGCACCTGGCCGCGAGATATGCCCGTGCTGATGCCGCCAAACGTTTACTAGACGCAGGTAAGAAAACGTTATTTTTTTATAATTGTGTACAAAGGCTTATAAAAAATGTATTTTATATTTTTTTATTATATAACGTAAGTAAAATTTGCAATTTGTATTTGTGTTTAAGGTGCTGACGCTAATGCGCAAGACAATACAGGAAGAACACCATTACACGCAGCCGTCGCTGCTGACGCGGTGGGCGTTTTCCAAATTCTTCTAAGGAACAGAGCTACGAATTTGAATGCAAGGATGCACGAAGGAACAACTCCATTAATTTTAGCAGCCCGCTTAGCTATAGAAGGAATGGTGCAAGATTTGATAAGTGCCGAAGCTGATATTAATGCAGCCGACAATTCGGGAAAAACTGCCTTACACTGGGCGGCGGCTGTCAATAATGTTGAAGCTGTCAATATTTTACTTGCGCACGGAGCTAATAGGGATGCTCAAGATGATAAGGTGAGGCTTTACAGAAAAACTATTCTTTCTTTATATTCATATTGTGTAAAAAATTCGAGAAATTAACTCATTTTTTTTTTTTTCAGGATGAAACTCCTTTGTTCCTTGCAGCTCGTGAGGGCTCATATCAAGCATGTAAGGCTCTTTTAGAAGCTTATGCAAATAGAGAAATAACCGACCATATGGACAGACTGCCAAGAGATGTTGCTGGCGAAAGGTTACATCACGACATTGTCCGGTTGTTGGACGAACATGTACCTAGAAGCCCACAAATGGTTAACGTTATACCAAACAATAGCGTTATGAGTAAGTTTTTTATATTGGTTTTACTGTCTTCATCGGTCTGTTTATCGCAATTATCTACTTTATTAATTTATTTTAAATATTAATCCTCCCAAATCTCATGCTAACCTATATCAACTTCATTATGATCAACTGTTAATCCTAAACGAGCAATATCCAGGCAGTCAGTTTTACCTGTTTGGAGATTACAATCTACCTACGGCAATATGGCAAATTAAAGATTTCTGTTCTTCAGCTACAGCTCAACCCACATCTTCATTGGCTGTAGCAAGTGCTATCGAAATAGTCTCGAATATATGTGCATTGTACAATATCTTCCAGTCTAACAATGTCTTCAACACAAGGGGTGTTATTCTTGACCTAGTTCTGTCCCCTGTTGAACTAACAGTGCTCCTGGCCGACGACATTTTGATCTCACCTGATGCGCATCACCCTCCTCTGAAAACAACAGTACAATTTATGTTGAACAATAGTGTGGCTCCCGGTGATGAGTGTTATTATGATTTTCGCAACGCCAATTTCACGGGTATACGTCAATATTTGGAAGACATGGATTGGGACGGGCTTCTTCGAGATAAGGAACTTTCCGAGATGATTTCCATTTTTTATGACGCTCTGTTTTCCGTAATTGAGTTATTTGTTCCCATTAGGAAAGTTTCTACGAAAAAATTTCCACATTGGTATTCCTCGCAGCTTAGGAGCTTGGTTAATGATAAAAAGGTTGCTCACAGGATTTATAAACATAACAGGACTACCCATAATTATGAAATATTTAGTCAGTTAAGAGCACAATGTAAGCTTTTATCCAGAGAATGCTATTCAAATTATATAAATTCTGTTGAAACCTCTATTAAGACCAACGTTAAATCATTTTGGAATTTTGTTAATAGTAAAAGAGCAAATAACAGCATACCTGATAAAATGAATTTGGAGAACTCTCTTGCATGTTGTGGCAGTGAAGTAGCTAATCTGTTTGCAAGGCATTTTTCGTCACTCTACACCACACATATCCTAAATTTAAACGATAGCCAAATTGAATCTAAAGTTAATGTTTCTTCATACTACATCCCAATTTCGACCATTTACGATAAACTGTCAAACCTTGATATAAAAAAAGGGCCAGGCGCTGACACTATTCCTCCCATCTTACTAAGAAATTGCAGCTTCATACTGTCTCGCCCTCTCGTTCATATTTTCAACAAATCAATCGACACAGGAGAGTTTCCCGATTATTGGAAACTTTCTCATGTTATCCCAATATACAAATCGGGTAGCAAATCTGACATCAAAAATTATCGACCCATCTCAATTCTCAGCATAATACCTAAATTGTTTGAAAACATTATAACTGATTACCTTACTTATGATTGCTCCGGCTTCATAACTGAAAAACAATATGGTTTTTGTGCTGGAAAATCAACAGAGTTAAATTTAATCACTTATATCGACTTCTTGTCAGTAGCCTTGGATGAAGGTTTACAAATCGATTCCGTCTATACTGACTTTTCCAAGGCTTTTGACAGGGTTAACCATTTTCTCCTACTTAAAAAGCTCAACAAATATGGTCTGGATGGGGTATTACTGCAATGGATTGGCAGCTATCTAACTAATAGAACCCAAATGGTTAGAGCAAATCGACACTATTCTAACTTATTTCAAGTAACCTCAGGTGTTCCTCAGGGATCACATCTAGGCCCCTTACTATTTAACTTATTCATTAATGATATAGTTTATTGTTTCCGCAACAGCAAAGCTTTATTATTTGCAGATGACTTAAAAATTTTCCAAATTGTTAAAACCCATGATGATGCCCGTAGAATTCAGTCTGACCTCGATAACTTATCAGAATGGTGTTCTTTAAATGGCATGGACTTGAATGCCAATAAATGCCATATCATGCGTTTTTATCGTTCCCACCTACCTTCAACTACATTTAACTATAACTTAAATGGTCATATCTTAGACTCTGTTTATCAAATTAAAGACCTTGGAATTATTCTCGATCCTATTTTAAGCTTCAATCAACACATATCTGCTGCTGTCAACAAATCTATGAAAATGTTTGGTTTTATCAAAAGGCTGACCCGTGATTTTACTGACACAACTGCAATTAGAGTTCTTTATTGTTCGTTAGTCAGACCTCACATTGACTACTGCTCTTCTGTTTGGTCTCCACACTATATAACATATAGTAGGAAAATAGAAAGTGTTCAGCACAACTTTCTCAGACATATACCTTTTAAATTGGGTGTTTATTGTGAATATGATTTCATGCAACAGTTTCTGAACATTTCCTCCTTGGAAACTAGGCGTAAACAAAGAGACCTTAGTTTGTTATTTAATATTATAAATAGTAGTAATTGTCCTGAACTTCTTGAAAAAATAAATCTTCTTGTTCAAACTCGTTTAACTTGGCAACTGCAAACATTTTATGTACCTTTTTATAGATCAAACCAGGCTTTTAACAGCTGCATTCCAAGAATGCTTAGATTAGCTAACTTGAACAATGATCTCAGGCTGTTCAATATTCCATTTTCATCATTCAAAACTCAATTACGTAATACTGAGCTTTAATGTTAATGTTTTACTGTGTGGTTTCTCTATTTTAACCTTCGACTAACCTATGTTATTATTTTATTATTTTATATGTTTCTAGTTTGCATGACATGTATGATGTCTTTGTGCAACAGCACCATAACTATTTGTGATATTTTAATTAATTTTTATAATTGTAATTTGTAATTGAAATGGGCTTGCCCGTAAATAAATAAATAAATTATTATTATTATTATTATTATTTTGTTTTTCTTACAGCTTCTGCAAGTGGTCATATGCTACAACAGCCGACTGTCATCATTCCTAAAAGACAGAAATCAAAAAGGCCCAGCAAAAACGTCGGCCCAACAAGCCCAGAAAACGAGGGTATGTTCAATACAGGAAGCATGCGACGAAAACCTAGTGTCAAAAAAACGAACAAGAAAAATGCGCAGCAACCAGAAGTCACGCAGAGTTTGGATTCAGTAACTTCTACTTTGAGCCCCGTAGAATCGCCAATGACTAATTTGCCCAGTCCATACGATGCGACATCCTTGTATTCAAATATGAATCTATCACATGGATTAGAAAGTCTTATGGCTAATAAACAACCTCCGAGTTATGAAGACGTTGTTAAGAGCAACCTAGGCTTTACGTTGGATAACAATTATGGTGCATTTAACATATTTCACGACCCCATAATCATGCAACATCGCCAACTACAGGCAAATACACTTAGTCCACCTTATTCCAACCAATCTCCGCCTCATTCAGTTCAATCCAACTTGTCTCTCTCCCCCCAAGGTTATAACGGTTCACCGTCACCGGCAAAATCGAGACCTTCTTTACCAACAAGTCCGACACATCGTGCCGCCATGATGGCGGCGACGCACCAGCATCAAAAACAAGGAGGAGTCCCTCAAGTCCAGAATCTCCAAATGGGTTTTGACTTTAGTCAAACGGGATTGGAGTTGCCCTTGACTTACTCTGGTGTAGCGGGTACTGCTCAGGTTACGCTGCAACCCCAGCAATTTCAACAGCACTATTTAACTCCCCCCAGTCAACACACTGACCATTTACTGCCTGAAAATTTCCCTACGCCGAGTCCCGAAAGTCCGGGCCATTGGTCGTCGAGTTCGCCGAGATCTTGTAACTCTGATTGGTCGGACAGTCCGACTACTTACGTAACGACTACGGGACATCAGGCGAATAAAGGCTCAGACGCTATATACATTTAAAAAAAGGCCAATGAGTTGTGATCTTGTTATATTTTAGGTAGGTATTAATGCACAAAAAACTACGGGTTGCGCTCTTACATTGGAAAATTGAAGAGAAATCGCACTAGTTTACCTTAATGTTTTTATTTTTTGAGGAAACTAATTTTCTCTTCGTAAAAACCTTAAAAGATTAATTTAAACTTTATTGTCTGTACTTGTGATATATCAGAATTTATTAACAAAGATCTGTGAAGGTGACACGATATTTTTATCTTGGTAACAATATTTCTTAATACAAGGTATTTCAAAATGTTTTGCCAAACTTTATAGGTGTAGTAGAACGTTTGCTTAACGAGCCCATACTCGAAGAACATAAGTATTAAGCACCTCTCAGAAGTATTAATTTTCAGAGAAATTCACATAATGAATTCAAATTTTGTACGTCATTGAGGGGCACTAAAACATCCTTTTAAGAAATATTTGTTCGACATTTTCGGTTTATTTTTATTTCTACTTTTTTTATTCTAAGGTCATAAACATATATAATTCTTTATATAGCCAAATTATATCTTTAAAAAGTTAGCTATAAGTCATATTAAGATCTCTGATTTACGTAAAATTATTTAAATAGCTATATGCTTATTTTCGAAAAAAAAGGGTGAAATCGATTCTTAACAAACTAGAGGGATCGAACGAAAATTTCTGAAACGGCTGTCTTAGTGCCTGCCTTATAGTGCATCAATTTATTATGTGAACCGCTTATTTCCAAAAACTTGATTTTCATGAACCATTTTCTGAGGGTTGTAGATCATTTAAACAATTTTTCGACATGATTCCATTAAGTAACCTATCTACTCGTATCATTACAAAAAATATTGCTGGACAATTTTCAAACCCCTTGTATATTATTAATGTACTATTGATATATTTTTTTGATCTAAAAAATGTAAACAGTAATTAAAAACTAGACGAATTTTAGCTAATAGTATCTTGGAATAGGATCAAATAAATATTAAACTTCAATTTTAAGGATGATAATTGGCGATTTTCCAATAAAAAATAATTGTAATTATTGTTCTAAACTCATGATGAAAACGTTACTTTGAAATAAATAAACGGAAAACCATTTATAAAACACATATCTTTGGATACTTAAATATCACTATACAGGGTGTAACAACAATTTAAGTCCATTTGGAACATTTACGCCTCCTAGTAATGTTTCGTAAAATAACTTTAACATTAATAACTTTTTCATATTAACACCATCTCTGGTACTCGTATAGTTAAGTATACTTGTAGGTATAGGATGGCCACTTTTTTATTGCTCACTATATTAGGTTCTCTTAAACCGGAAGATTTACACGGTTTTGTTAAATAGAACAAAATTTATCTTCTATAACAGAGAGACTATAAAAATTAACTTTGTAGACACAAATATCCAGAACCGTTTTTAAGTTATGAGAAAAAATGTGAAATTTTTAATTTCTAAAAAGTAAATAAACTTTTGTCTTATTTATACATTTTTTTAGTATTTTCAAAATTTGAACAGGACGTTTAGTTTAAGGTTTACGAGATACCAATGGTGAGCATTAAAGATTACTACCCTGTATTACATAATGTAATGAATGAGAGCGCTTATAGCGTTGCATATTAAACAAGCTTAGCCAAATAATTTATAAATTGCCATATTGCCAAAAATAGTGTCATAAGTACAGATCGCCTCATCAAAAAAGGGTTATATGAAATACTTTATGGATATTTGGTACGTTGAGATGTTCCATATTTAATTACAACCATTTTTTAATATTTAAACTATAAAATTTTCTATACCGAGTGAACCTGAAAGATGGATCGCCTCCTACATTTTTTTAATTAATTTAAATTTAATTTTTAGATATATCATATAAATAAGCCTTTTTACTATTAATTTATTTTTGTTAGTTTTGGTTTGACCAGAAACGACTATAATTGCCTAATTTTAAATAATATATTTTTACTTACATACTTCATTAGAAAATGACATTCTCAGTACAATGATAACCAAAATGCCGTATTTTAATACCTAACGTATTCAATCTATAGTGCAATGAATGAGTTATGAGTTAAAATGGTTCATTTTGGATCAAGTAGCCTTTTACAACATCATATTTAAGAGGGTATATCAGTTTATTGACACAAAATTAACCATTTTAACTGACTCGTAGCATTCTATGCTGAAAATTAAACATGAAAAGATTTTGAGGTTATGTTTCGAAAAGTGACAAATGTGTACCCAGAATGTCAGTTTCTATCGAAGTAATCAAAAATACATCCGGTATACCTACAATATATTCCAAATAAGTAAATTGGAGTAATTTCTGGCAAAACCGGACGTGGCACAAAACAATAATTGAATACGTAAAAAAGTGCATATTAAATGTTTTTATATTAAAAGAAAAAAATGTAGGGGCCTGCTACCTTCCAAGGCTAACTGGTATAATTTCTTAAAATAACACCAACCACGTTTCTCTATCAATCCTTATAAATCCTGCATGTTGTTTATATCGTCTGCTGTCTGCCCATATTATGATCGACAAACTTCGACTTCATTTCGGCCATTATTGTTTCTATATTTTTAAGAGCAAAACGGACCTCTCGCGAAAACAAAACTGTTTTAAGGATTTTCTAATATAATATTGTATTACATGCGCGCCTCTGGAAATGTATATAAAGTGGCCAAAAACGCCCCTAGTGTGGCAAGCCGCTGTTCGCTCTCTAGATCCATATTTTAGGTGGATCAATCCCATTCTCTTAGATAATACTCTTTGCAATGTTCCTCCATGTTTCCCTAACCTGTACTTTTTCTTGCCAATTATTCACTCCTGCCCTGCGTAGATCTTCTTTCACTTCCTTCAGCCAACCTGATCTATGTCTTCCACGTCTCCTTCCCCCTCCGGGATACCATTGTAACATTGATTGACCCAATTTTCCATTTCCGGCTCTTCAAACGTGCCCCAACCATCTAACTCATTTGTTAACCGACTTAAAAAAAAAGGAGGAGGTTATCAATTCGTCGCGATATTTTTTTTTATGTATGTTCAGCGATTATTCTTTAACACGGTGTTCGATTTCAATGATTCTTTTTTTGTTAGAAAGGGGGTACTTCAGGGGTGGTCCCATATAAATTTAGTCAAAATCTAGTAATTGGGTCCATGAGAAAATCCTCAAACTCTTCATTTTTTATGTATGTTTCGCAATAATGCTTTAACGCGATGTCCAATTTCAATGATTCTTTTTTTGTTAGAAAGGGAATACTTCAGGGGTGGTCTCATATAAATTTGGTCAAAATATAATGATTGGGTCCATGAGAAAATCCTCAAACTCTTAATTTTTTATGTATGTTTAGCGATAATGCTTTACCACCTTGTCCGATTTATATACCTCAGAGGTATCCCATATCAATTTGATTAAGATGTGGTGATGGCATCTGCACGTTTTTGAAGTCGGTTTTTTTAAATTTTTAATAATTCTATTGATATTAAATGTGTAAGTAGGTTGCCAAGTAAAATAGTATTTCAGGACATTTCTTACCAGGCCATTGTAAAGTGTCACATATGCCTTCTTGACTACCTCATTTTTGCTAATTGCCTTCATGAATGCATGCACTTTGACGAACGATTTTATATCGACCCCTTTGTTTATCCTCAACATACTTTGTAATTTTGAATGGATAGTCCACATAGTCGATACTTTATACTGTTCCGACATTTTCTGGAGATAAGCGAGAACAATTCTTTTTTATAAACCGCTTCGGATTTTTGTGGTATAAAGCGCGATTCTGCTTTATTATTTTAATTCTGTATTCTTCTGATTTTAATTGGTCTTAATATGGCTCTCATAGTTTTTCTTTCCATAATTCTTCCTCATCTTCCTCTTTTTTTGTCATACTTATTGTTTCTGCTGCATATTTGTCAGATTATTGTGTTGTATATTTTAATTTTTTTGTTTTTTTGAGTATTTTGATTTTAAGTAATTTTTAATTTGCGTGCAAGGCTTTATTTGTAGTGACTATTTTTTCTGGTATTTCCAGATTCCTGTCTCCAGTTTTAGCTATTGTGATTCTCAAGTATTTAATTTTTTGCACTTCTTCGAGTTCATGTTTTCCTATTTTAATACTTTTTGATGCTGCTTTATTATCTAATCTCATGATATTTGTTTTTTTTTCTTGGTCTAGTCTTATAATTTTTCCTTCTTTTACAATTTCGTTCAAATTGTTTCCATGATTTTTCTTGTTTTTGAAATTCTCAGTGTATCATCTGCATTTGCAATGACTTGTCCTCCTCCTGTTCTCAATGTCTCTTTATTTATTTTCCTAGTCACATACTGAGAGGTTGAACAGAGTGACTGATAGCGAAGCTCCCTTCTTTACTCCTTTATTAATTATGAATTCTTCTGTCGCTCCTTTTTGTGTTTTAATGTTAAGTTTTGTTTCTTGTATCGTCATTGTTATTAACCGCCTTAACTTTATTGGTATTCCTAATTTTTTGTAGGGCCAGTTGCAGTTTTGTTCTTTTTATTGAGTCCTTGCTTAAAGTCAATAAAAAGCATTTCTAATTATATTTTGTGTTCATACGCATTTTCCATTATTTGCTTTATTGCATGGATTGCATCTATAGTTGATTTTCCCTGTGTGAATCCACATCGGCACTGTCCAATCACCTTTTTTTGTTGTTTGCGTTAGTTGTCTTCGTATTATTGCTGAAAGTATTTTGACATATTTGTTGGTCACCTTTTTTATGGAGTGCTATCACATCTCCTATTTCCCACTATCTTGACATTTTTTCCTCTTTCCATACCTTTTTCCATAATTTGTGAATTAGAGATAATAGTCTTTCTTTCAATTCGTTGCCTCCTTATTTAATGTGTTCGATATTAATTCCATCTTTTCCTGGTGATTTTCCATTTGCATTTTTTCCAATGATCTTTTCTATCTCTTCTCTTGGTGGATCAGCAATTATGTCCATTTCTTCTATTTCCTCTCAGATTCCTCCACCTCTGGATCGATTAAGAGATCTTCAAAGTATTCTATCCCCACTTGCTTGTATTTTCCAGTATCACTTCTCCTTTTTTATTTTTTATTCCCTTAGTTTTGCCTTTGTGAAGCGCTAAGACCGAGTACAGTTAGAAACATGTACACCTACATCTGAATAACAATGACCCATGAACGAAGTGTTAGAGTTTTCATACGGAACATATTCAAACATTCGACCTGCGTCAACCTTACTGGACTGATTATTTATAATAATCCTATTTTTCTTTTTATTCATTCGGATTTTCATTATTTCTTCACAATTTGGCCATGATAAATTTGTAGGTATCATAACTCCTCAATATTGACTGGAAGTTCTATCTATACACTACTTTTTAGATATTCAATATTCTAAGGTAAAATGACCTTAGAATAACAGGTATGTCACTACGTTTGGAGATTATGGTACCACGGAAAATACTGCATAACTGTCCACTGACGCTGAGTGAATTGTTCACAAGTACCCTCATCTCCAAACGTGGTTACATTCCCCGGCCTCCAAGGTCACACGACCTTACCTCCAAAAATTTAATAATTTCGAAGGAGTGTTATGAACAAGATGACAGGCATATGGACAACATTCCTTTTAAAATATAAATCCGCATTTTTCTCTTCTTTAATATTTACCAATAAATGAATTTTAATTTTTATTACATATTTGCTATGATTTTTTAAAAACGGAAATTTTTTTCTGGTCACCCAGTATTTGTAATTATTTTCTAGTAGGTGTTATTAATCCAATTCATATCTTAGATGGTTGTGGTTATTGTCCATAATTTAATTGAATATAGTAATTGTAGGTACATTTAGAATAATACAAAATAGTAGCTCTTCCTTGAACGAATCGCCCTGGTTAAAAAAATATGTCTGTCTAGAGCGCAACCTAATGAAACTTGTGGTCTCAATAATTATTATACAGAGTGTACTCTATATCAAATACAGTATTTATTTTTTTGTCAAACTAAAGGCCTTATATTTTATACAAAAAAAATCACTCCGTGCCTTTGACAACGTTGTTAATTAATAAAACATGTAATATTATATAGAATACATAAATTCTATTTTGTAAATATTCTTATTAGCTATATTATTGTTAGCTTAATTTTTATCAATCAAATAGTATGTTTTTAATTTGATCAGAATTCATATGTTTACGTGCTAAATATTTATTATCATAATGTTTCCTATTAGGTGTTAATGACGTCATATATATATTGTCTTCTCATTTTTTCTTTATTTTAACACATGGATTCTATTAAATAGGAAAATATTTTGGTTTAGTCTAACTTTTTTAGCATTCTCTCCTTATAATAAAATAATTATTGTTGAATACAGCAATCTTTTGCATTTAGTGTTAGAACTGTCAATTAACTTGTGATGTCAATAACATAAGTTTGAACCATTTTGTTTGTTAACAGCCACGTGAGCATATGACTTTCTTTTTTTTTGTAAAATTTTAATTTTTTTATTCCAGTTTCAAACAAACCAGTCTCTCTATTTTTAATTTTTGTGTGTCCTTAAGATTTTTTTTTAAAGTTGTATTAACATCTCTATTGTCTGTGATTCAATTGTAATTAACATCAATTTTTTGACAATATTTTGTAAATTTAGTGATATTACGATTTTAAATATTTTTGATAAAAATGTTTTTTAAATGAATAATTAAATGATAAAGAAGAGCACATTCCATTGTCTGGGATAATTTGAAAAAAAGTCTTTCAAAAAATTATACAGTGTTCATAATTAATTAGAAAATATAGTTTTTTATTAAGGCGCTTTCTTTAATTTAGTATTTTTTGTATTAATTTAATTAATTTGTTAATTTTTAATATTTATTATTAAATAATGGCCTATAAAGAGACTCTTATTTAGTTTAAGCGCGAATATTAATTTTTTTAGGTTCAAAATATTTAATATTTTTAAGATTGTTGCTTAAATTACTTAAAATTCTGTTTCTAGTCCTGTGTCAGTTACATTTTTAATCATATAGAATATTTTTTTATTATTCTAAAATTTTATGAAATGTCTTTTCATTTTTTTTACGGGGGAATTTTGTATAGTTTATCAATACCAATGGATTTTTTTTTACAAAAAGTTCAGATTAAAGAATTTGCCTTTTATAGGATGTCTTGCGAAATTCTGATAATTTTCTTATCGTTTTAAGTTTGTACATTTAATCCCTGTAAGTTATACATTTGTTCCACAATTTTCTAACAGTATTTTTGGCTTTCAAAACAATTTTGAAACAAATTTGACTTGATAAAATATCAAATTTTCGTATCTCATCCTGTATTACTGTGTATAGTTGAAAGTCGGCTGACTTTAATCTTTATATTTATACGATTTTTTTTAAATGATAATTTCTTCTTGTTCAGCTGATTTTCATTTTGTAAAAAGTACTGATTAGATATATCTATAGGTAAACTATCATGGTTTTGACTATTTGTTTGGCATTTGTTGACAGTATAAATGTCAACATTTGTAGATTTTCTTTTAGTTTTAAGATCACTTGCTTTGTACTATATGATTTTAAATAAAGATTTTTTTATAATAGTTGACTACTTTATTTTCAATCCAAAGTGTCCCTCTTAAGAGTAAGTAATAGGCTCGCTCGAGCTGCAGTGTCTGAACGACCCACAGTGTTCGAAAAAGGATGGACAGAGAAATTTACGTGAGAATAATGTTGACGTCGCGTCAACAATCTGCTCGAATCGTCAACTCCAGTCTTAAGCGAACTAGAGAAAATCATAAGCGTGCCAGCCAAAAATTATTGTTCTCCCAGGCCCTCGAATTTAACTGAAGTTACTGAACACGGTGCGCGCGTCGTAGCCGTAGCTACATAATTATATTTGTGAATTCTACGGGAATGTTTTACCGATCACAGAGAGCGTCTATTCCCGTTGCAAGAGATTTTTTTATTTTCAGGAAACTTCAAGTATTTTAATATATTTTTTTATGTTTAAAATATAATTTTGTGAGCTGACCTTTGCAGACTTGATCTTAATCATCGAGCATTTGAACGTGAATTAGATCGAATTACAAAATGTTTAACTACATTTTCTTTAATGTGAAAAGATTAAGATACAAAAATATTATAATTATATTTATGATCTTCAGATATTTAAGAACTTAATTATAGTTTTGATTCAATACTTTTTAAATAAACGAAATAAGATAGAAATGTGCGGTTTCAACCACTGAGTTTCAAATTTCTAAAAGTTTTTTTCCGAAGCACATTAATTTTTAAAAATATTTAAACAAGTCAAGTTATTTTTAGTTGAAAATAGGCAAATTTTTTTCCTCGCCCTGCATAAATGGGAAAATTTGCTAATGTGATTGGGTAAAAACTTTTCGAAATTTAAAACTCATTGGTCAAAACCGCACATTTTTATCTTATTTCTTTTTAGTCAATAATCACGTTTAAAATGTGTCAATTTATAGATTATATAAATTCCTCCCTTAAAATATTGGGAAGTGGCAGTAAATAATTGAGGATTTTAATATAAATTGATTTAATACTGCCTATCGTTTTTTTAAAAAATATCTTACTAGGAGTGTTTCTTAAAATTTTTTAATTCATCGAGTATCCAAATTCAAATTGTTTAAATTCGTTTGGAATAAAAATATCTTTAGGTATTTATTTTAAATACATTAAACATTATTCTCTTTTACAGCACATCATTTTTACCTATCTGTTTAAGATTTTTATTTAATATATTGCTACCATAAGTTATGTATATTATATAAATTTAATTAAATACGGTATAATATAGGAAATAGGAATTTCAAAAACCACATAGAAGTTATATGACATCTTTAATTATTTGTTTTAAATAAGCATCGTAATAAAAAAAAATATTTTAGGATAAATTTTGTTCTTCCAAAACTCATCATCTCTGCAAATTTCATCAACATGGATAGGGCGTAAAGGAGACCAGACAATAAAATAACAATATTCCTCGCCTGAAAGATGTAGCTGCCCTTGTATTTGGTAGTAATGCGGATGAGTGTTTTTTAAATACAACAACCCCCAACATAGGCAAGAAATTTAATTTTCTTTACTTAATTTCCTTGTTCTATTGAGCAGCTTTTCAGGACAAAGGGACATTTCACTTCAATAGTAAAATTGTTGTCGTTTTCAATTAAACCATCTGGACTAGCAGCTAGGAAATATTCTTCTTCAGTTCCAATGAATAAGCCACAAGGTATAACAGTTAAACCTGTCAAGTCCTCAAATGCACGAATTGCTGTGGCTTCATTGTCCTGGCCATATAGCGTAGCTCTATTACCAGTAAATCTTGTTCTGTACATTCTCTTTGCTACTGTAAGACGATCCGTCGTTTCTAGCAATCTACAAATCATTCCAAAATTAGATGCAGTCAGCCTATGCTGTCGTTCCTGATGCCATAACGGATTTAAATGTTGCCCTCTTGTGATTATTTCTAAATTAATTTTATCTGACATTGTTTTTTTTTAAGATATTCTGGAGCTTTTCTTTTCGAGTATTCTGTTCCTCTTCATTTACGACATCTTCCACTGCCCCATAATCTTTATCAGCAATTGAAATAATTAATTTTGGTTTATATCCCCGTTTACATTTATACCTTTGAGTTCTATTTCGCTTGAGTTTTCTTCTTGTTAAAAATTTTTGTATATAATCTCCAGTAGCTTCTCCGAACGCATTTACTATTTGTTGAAGGTAAGTGTATCTTTCGAATTATAAGAAATAGCTGCCAACTGACACCTCGCTAAATAGGATCCTTTGAACGAAAACTTAATCTGAAAACAAAAAACTAAATGTAACTACAATGGCGACATTATTTATAAAAATTCGTAGTATAATATGTAATCTGTTATTTTCAAAAAGATCACAACAAACTTCCCGGATATGCAAAAATATATGTTTTTTTTTTATAGAAGAATTTTCGTAAATATGTAGGGAGTTATAATACATTAAAACAAAAACATTACCTATAACTATTTAAAAAGACAAAGAATGAAAAGACTCTAAATTAGAAGGTATTTGTTAAATTGGCAATGTAGTAAAAAATTTTAACTTACCCTTTTCCCTCCAACAAATTTGTTAACAAGGCTGTTAAACTGCTCGCTGCATTGTTGTTTTTATTAATTAAAAATGAATATGAATTATTTAAAACTCTTTGCAGACACGCCATAATATCATCATTGGAACCACATCTTATGAACTCTGGCATTATATTTTCTTCCTGGTCTTTTGCTCCTTTGCAAAAATATTCCTCGCAATTGGCATGCTCACCGAATATATGAGCCACAGAATTTTTAATGTCATTCTGAAACAATCGTATTTTTCAGCCAGAGGTACAGTCATCTGAATATGAAAAGCAGCCGCCTTTTTTATTGCTATTCGAAATCTTAATATGTTTGATTCCAATTTTTTTCTCAAATTTAACGGAATTATTAGATGACTTGATGGACTTGTCCTTGACTTTGAGAAATCTTTTAATTTATTACAAAAATTCCTTAGTAAATGGTTTACACATTCAATTTTCTGAATAGGTGTGGCTCCGTAAGGTTTGTGTGAAGACAATTTTTTAGTTATGCTATTGTCTCCATCACCAACTAGCGTTGTATACTTTAATCCATGCATCTCAACGCTACATTGGAACCCGTCAAGAATAATCGCACTCTCCATAGATGTCGATGACCCTTTCCAATTCTTGGCACACTGATGTTGAGGTGCATCTTCAATTTTAGTTTCAAATTTTAAGCATATTGTGCAAAACTTATTTTTGACTCCCATAAATAGGACCTTTTTGGTGGCTTCTCCAATAATAACAGCTACTCCAGATAATGCGTTGTAATTTGTCTTATATGATCTTTTAGACCATGCTCCATCTGCAATAACTGTTATATATGGCGTGCCAGTCGAATCGACATCTCCTTTTTCTTGAGCTATTGCCGCTTCTTCTTCACCGGCTTTTCTCAACTCCTCTAGAAATACATTGTCAACTATTTTTTCCATTTTATTATGAACTGTGTTGTACTGGACGGAATTTAGAGCTGGCATATTTAAAACAGAAGTAAATTCCTCCAATTGCCATTGTCCATTTCCAATACAAGTGCTACCTGTAAAGAGCAAAAAAATATTCATAAGTAATGCAGTTGATATGTAAAGTTCCTACATATTATATCCATTCCTATCTAGACTGAGAGATGGTGACAGGTCTTGGTCCTCGATTTCATTTTTAAGGGTTGATAATAATTTAGTCGAAGAGAAAAAAATAAGATGGTTTTTGACCTATACAATGCACGTACGTACTTCCTAATAAAGTTCGTTATTTTCACTTGTGATTTTTTTTGTTTGTTCGTGATATTATATAAAATAATTTTATAAAAATTTTTAAAGCACGAGTTTTTATTAAATGCACTCAAAAGTAGAAAATAATTTTTTTGATTTCCGATACCATAATAAAAGCGATGGGCGCAAACTAAAATTTAAATTGTAGGTCTAAAATATGAAATTGTTTCAATTTGCGCCCATCGCTTTTATTATGGTATCAGAAATCAAAAAAATTATTTTCTACTTTTGAGTGCATTTAATAAAAGCTTGTGCTTAAAAAGTTTTTTATAAAAATTATTTTTAAATTTTTAGTCACGCACACTTAGGCTAGGGTTCTTAATCTTTGCATTTCGGGTAACGCGTCATTGTTGCAAGGTGTTTTTCCTATTAATTTTGAGCCATATTATTGTATCGTCACCAAAACCATAAATTTATATCAAATTTACGTACGTAGAAGTAAAAAAATAAACTTATACCTATTGATATCGAATACCCTCACACACCATTTTAAACTAAATCGGACGAAGTTAAAAAGATCTCCCACCACTCTCGTGGACAAGGGGGAGGTGGAAACCTTAAAATACCATAGGGTGGCTTTGTCACCGGAACTATAAACACCTACCAAATTTGAAGTTAATCTAATGTGTAGAAGTCAGTCAAAAATGAGTTGAACCCCCCTCCACTCTAATGGACAAGGGGGGAGGTGGAAACTTAAAAATACCATAGGGTGGTATTGTCACCGGAACTATAAACACCTACCAAATTTGGAGGCAATCGGATATGTAGAAGTCAGTCAAAAATGAGTTCAACCCCCCTCCACTCTAGTGGACAAGGGGGGAGGTGGAAACCTAAAAATACCATAGGGTGGAATTGTCACCGGAACTATAAATACCTACCAAATTTGAAGTCAATCGGACGAAGTTAAAAAGATCCCCCCTCCACTCTCGTTGACAAGGGGGGAGTTGGAAACTTAAAAATATCATAGGGTGGTATTGTCACTGGAACTATAGGCACCTACCAAAGTCAATCGGATATGTAGAAGTCAGTCAAAAATAAGTTGTAAGTTTCGATTACATACATATCGCCTAGTGAGAACATTAGTGACCTAACTCCGAATATGTTGATCTAAGATAAACGCGGCTAAAGTTCGTACGAAAAATATTATTTTTTTTTTTGCTATACGTTTGTAGCTATCTTACCGATTTTTCTCTCTAAATTGTAAATATCTTTAAGTTATAATGTAACAGGTTTTTTTTTAAGTAAATGAATATTAATAATGTTACATTCGTCAGTATTGCCTTCGAAGGTAAAAATAAAAATACCAAGCATTACTGACAACTACAGCCACCAAGCGGACAGTAGTAGAACTATAATTTCGCCAGTAACGGACCAGTTGCGGGCTACATTAAGCAATTTTTTGAAGTACACAAGTCGAAAACGTGTATTTTTGAGTTACGTCACTAATGTTCTCACTAAGCGATATATACATACAAACAAACAAGTGAAGTTAAATAAAAGCTTTTAAAAAAGAAGAATTTATTTTGATTTATTGGAGGTTCGAATATCCTGAGAGAGCGCTGTTTCGTCCTTTTGAACTTCCTCAGCCAGGACTTTTCGAAACCTAACAAATCAAAATCTTCTTGGTAACTTACATGGTATAGATACCACTCATATATATGCAAACTAGTTTGCTTATTTTGCACACTTTGGATTTCATTAATTAGTAAAATACAAAACGGAATGCAATATACATATAACGAAAAAACTAAAAAAAAATCACAAATGAAAATGAAATTTTCTTTAAAAAGGGCATGTGTGCATCATTCAAAAACCATGCATCTTATCTTTGTTATCTGAAACCTTGGGCTACATTATCTATCCTCAAAAACTATTTTGTATGAAATCGGAGACCAAAACATGTTACCAGCTCCGGTCTAATCTAGCCATATACAATACGTGTAATTACTTCATTAGACTGCATTTTATGAAAATTTTATTATTGTTCTATTTGTATTTAAAAAATCAGTAATTATGTGAATTTATAAGGACCGTCTCGTATATGGTAGAAGACCCTGTATGAATATGTAAGTTTCAAATAGGTCGCTATATTTTAAATATTTCAGTATGTAATAATGTAATTTAAACAAATTATTTGGACCAAAGCTAGAGCATAAAATAAAAAATAAACGAAAATAAGATAATATAATTATGTGACTTACCTATAACTGCTGTCATATTAACATCCAATTTCGTGGTGGGGTCGTCAGTATTTAGGCAAGAGGTTATCCCACACATTTTGCATTTGATTGTGAACGATGAAAAATAACCATCTCTGGTTTCATTTATGATATCGCACTGTGATATAGCACAATTAAATAATGGCATATGTTAAAGATTCTCGATTTGATCCCAAAAATATGAAATGTTCACCAGCCTTCGACCCTCAATTTTGTAAGATGCAACCTCTTTTACAACTTCAGTGTCGAGTTCATCTCCTGAGATGGACTCATCTTGAATAATTGCAGTACTAGGACCAGGAATACTATTTGCTAATTCTGCTTCTTCGGGTACTGCAGGAATATTTTCAATACCTATAACAACATCTTCAACAGACTTTCGTAGATCTTGAAATAAAAGTTTATGTTATTACATGTTAGATTTTTAGCAGAAGTGTATATTGGATTGATTTTCCGTTTTACTAGTTCTCTAGAATAGATGACAGATGACATTTTTTTTTGAAATCGTGTTTAGATTTTGTACTATTATTTTTTTAAATTTCAAAAAGATTCTATTTACGTACGTCACGGAGTCTAATATTATATGTGATAAAGAGAGCCCCTCTTGTTTACTTATATGCAAAATTATATTTGAATTAATTCATTTGTTTACTTTTTGCAAATATTTACAATTAACGTACACCAATGAATTTAATATTTTGAAAAATAATGCATTGATGTAATAGGTAGGTACTTACCTACCTAATATAAATACATTTCGTTCGATTGTGACATATCGATTGCAATTTTTTTAAACACTTTTACCTCTGAAATACCCCCTTTAACGTACGCCGATGGGTTTATTATTTTACAAATATTGTATATCGTTATATAAGTAATATTAATACAAAATTTGGTTAGAAGCTGACATTTCTTTTAATGTTTACAAATTTTTTAAACTATTAACCCCCTAAATACCTCCTCAAAGTACTCCAAAGGATTTAATATTTTGGAAAATAATGAACATTAATATAAATAATATTAGTATAAAATTTGGTTCGATTCTGACATTTCGTTCTTTTAATACGAATTTTTAAAATTTTAAAATCCCCTAGAAAACCCCCTCCCACGCTCCGATTTCTTTCAAAAACTATTACCCATTTGATTTTTTGTGAAAATCTATTTAGCCGTTTTTTCTAAACCGTTGACTTAAATTTCAGACAGACAGGCACACAGACATGTTTTTCGGACCCAGGGCCCTCCAAAACGTGAAAATCAATTAAAATCTCGAGGTCAAAATTTTGGGCGATCACGATACTTCCCCTCAATAATATAATTCAAAAAATATAATTAAGGGAAAGTAAAAAGGGTTAGAAATATCAACATGTAAAAATGTTACTTATGGTACTTACCGCATTCTGGATTGGACATATCGCCGTTTGCCCAATTTGGTAATACTTTTCTTTTTTTTTTCCATATTCTTCACAATAAAAGTTCAAAACTCACAAAAAAATCACTTCACTCTACAAATATCTTTTACATAATGCACAATGCAATCCGAGCCACGAAATATATATACATTTAGATCATGAATCATCTACCTTGATAGGTATTTCCCATTGCGATTCGCAGATAGCTGATACTTCAACCCCTATCAATATTCTTCAAAACATTGTTATTAATTAAACCAGGTAAGTCAATCAATAACACTTTAAAGTTTTATTGAATATTAAAATTACCTAATTTTCTACATAGAATTAGCTTTATTAACCGATTTATAAAGTTTTATAAAACTACAGTTGTTTTTTAATTAAGGGATTAAAAGATTTGAGATTGTTGTTTTGGAATAAGATATTGTTGATTTCTCGGAAAACTTTATTCTTGATAAACGCGTCTGCATCAGCCAAATATATTGTATTTTCTTTTTTTACCTTTGAAGTTTGTATAATAATAATTACAAATCCGCTTTTAAAATATATTGACGAAAATATACACTAAATTTTCATTTAAATTTATAAAATTATTTAAAAAAATTCAGGAGGAAAGTAAAACAGACATACTGTCAAAAACATAAAAATCTAGAATCTCAGAAAGATGTAACACATCCGATCTCGCTCGCCACTGCACTGGTAGAGTTTCGACCGGCGCTAACAAATATTTTATTTATTTTTAGCAAGTTTTAGAACAAAAACCTTTATTTTTGTTGTGCGCTCAAACGGCTAAAGATAAAAGCATGAAATTTTGGGAATGGTTACATCTAACTAATATCTAAGAAGTTATGGTAATAGCAGATTTTTGAAAAAAAAAAAAAAATAAAATCGGAGTGAAAATATTTTTTTTCTCAAAAATTTGACTTTTCAAAAAAAATCTGCTTCCATACTTTTTTTTAGAAGTATTATTTTTAGAAGTAAATTAACTCCCAAAATTTCAAAAAAAATTGCTTGGTAAATAACGACGTTTGACTTTTATTTCAAATAAGCGAGGGTATGTATTCCTCTTAAGAGGAGTATTTACTTGGCTTTAGAGCAGAGCATGCAAGGGATTCGTAGTACCCCACTTTTAAAGTTTATTTTTCTGTAAGAAAAAAATAGGTGCGCGTAGATAAAGGTTAAATCTGTGCTCCTCTGGAGACACTTTTTCAAAATTTGAATGTTTTTCCTAAAAAAACTACAAATCTCGACTTTTTTACCCATTTTCTCAATTTTTTTTTTTAGAAAAAACTAAATTGAATTTTGGAAAAGTGGTTCCAGAGGAGCATAGATTTGACCCTTTCCTACACGTACATATTTTTAAATAGTCAAAAATAATCTGGAAAGTGACGCCTTAAGAAATTAATATTTGTGAATGAAAACTATTTATAATATATTTTACTGATGTTTATAAATACATTTTACGTATTTCTATACCTTATTGTTTTACGTCAATCATTTATGTAATACTAAGATCCACATATATAATATACAAGGGTTTCATAGTACCTACACCAATTTTACGGACTATTTTTTATTTTTACCACAAGAAAAATTATGTAAGACAGGTAAAGGCTCAACCCGTACCCCTCTGGAGTCACTTTTTGAAATTTTAAATCGGTTTCTCTTGAAAAAATCTAAAAAGATGTATTTCTAACAAAAAGAAATACAAATAAAAATGCTAGAAGGGAAAAATATATTTAATTTTTACCTACAGGAGCATTTATTTTTTTTACAATAAAAAGGAAAAAAATACGTTAATAGTAGTTGCTGCAACAAGATTAGATATGATGGCCATATCGCACGAAGACGAAAAGTTCATTTCATTTTTCCCCATAAAAAAAAAAACGAATTCAAGTCTTCCGTGTGGAAGGCAAGAACGCTAACCAAGGACCATCTATTCTTTTATTTTTGTTGCTTCAATACTCGCAATTAAATTGACTTTTATTTAAATTAACAAATTATTTATAATTCTTACAGACGAAATAAACACAGAAATGCTATTATTTATCGATTTTACACAAGAATAACCCATTTTAATGTATGTTTAATCCCAATAACTAAAAAATATACTGACAATTAGTTTGACAGAATTGTCACTAATTTAAAATTTTAAAAATAATAGCAGTCGGTTGATCAAAATATGAACGGTTATTGGTGGATTTAATTTTTTTATAGTATTCTCACTACCTAGAATGGATATGAAATATATTCGTTCAGTTGAAGGTAATACTTTTTCGTTTTGTAATATGTACGTAGATAAGCTAATATCCATGTGGGTGTAGAAAAAGCTTTTTCGTCTAGACGGAGACACCAACAAAATTTATATCCTTTTCTATTTACAAGTGATAAACAGTACGCAAGTGATGATTTGAATTTATTTTGTTTTATGTATACTTTGTTATTTTTTACATACAGTAATTTCGCTCAATTATTTTATCATTTATTTATTAAAAACGTATTCGCTCCGTGCGAAGTCATGGAAAGGGAAGCAAAAGCGATACTAGCGCTAGCAGCGGATAATTCGTGCATTTTAGGGCGATATTTTGTAATTTTGGCATATCAAATACACGTATACATTTTACTTTTTTTCAAGAAAATAGGAAAAAACAACACAATAAGCAACCGGAGTTGCTGTGTTGAAAATTGTACAAATACTAGCAAAAAAACAGTGAAACTTATATAACAAATTTCACTAGCAAAGTGGAAATTTAATCAAAGAAATAAATGGATAGGTGTACAATAAGAAGAAAAATTACCTTTAATTTTGTGATTATAACAGTAATGCTGGAAATAGTAGACATCAGAAACTTGAAAGGTTTTAAATAAACAATAAATTATCATTTTACGATGTTCTTTAATATCCCTTTATTCTTAAATGTTCATTCAGCAAGGACTAGATTTCAAGATTTCTGCCGTTGATTATAATATTTGGCTGGAATGCAATTTTGTGACCTACTGATGGGAAACCAGTTTTAATCATTCATTCTATGTTTTCTTTCGAACAAAAATGAAAATATAAATAACGATCCTTTTTTATACATTTTAACTTCACGCTGTTATTAAATGGTATTTTTTTATTTTGACAGAATAGGCTAATTCTTCAATGACAACTTATTAGACTTAGGCAACTTCTCATACATTTTCCAGTAAATACTGTTGCCTGCCTATATTTTATTACTGATTTTTATTAATTATACATAATTTTCTTTAATTTAAGCGGGAAAAATATGTAATAATAATAAATTAATGTTTTACTTGTTTTACAAATCCATATACTTTTATTAAAACTAACATATATACTTTTTATTTACGAATTCTATTAAAAATTGTATTTGTCAGTATAGGCAGAAATAGTCCTTTAATACCAAAACAAATTGTCGTGGCTTTGATCTGTCGTACTCTTTGATACGCGTTGCTGTAATATAAATACGTTACTATTGATACCTATACATGTTTGAAGTATTTACCCTATATTTAGTTGTTATTATTTATTTAGTTGTCACTTAATTTTGTACAGTTTTAGTTAAATAAAACCTTAAGAAAGGTATAAGTTTCATTACAATTTATTTAACTAAAATATATCTATGGATAAGTTACTTAGGCCTGAAAGATTTGATGCTGACCCTAGTTCTTCTGAAGCTAGTCAAGAGTGGGCCCATTGGTTAGCCACTTTTGATAATTTTCTAAATTCTATTAAGGATACAAAAGCAGAAGACAGACTAAATCTCCTCGTTAATATTAGTCACAGTGTGTTTAAATTTATTGAAGATAGTTCAACCTACGAAGATGCAAGAAGAGCTTTACAAGCAGTATATACGAAACCAAAGAATGAGATCTTTGCAAGGCACCAACTGATAACTCGAAAACAACGATTAGGTGAGACAATTAATCAATTTCTGCAAGACCTAAAAAAACTAAGCAAAGACTGCAAATTTAAGTCCGTGAAAGTTGAAGAAAACCGAGATGATTA